GTTGTTCTGAAGAAATTTACACTTTATGCACTTATAACACTGAGAGCTCCAGTTAAGGGGAAAGGCACTCCCCTTGTGTAAGCACTACAAAAAACATCCCAATTCTAGGAAAAAGGAGTTCTCAGGTGCTGTACTTCACCTTCCTCAGTRCTTGACACCTTCACTATGCCCGTGATGGTGACCATGTCTCCTGGGACACAGCTGTCCACSAGATCCTGGACCAGCTCACACTCGATGGTGCGCGGGATCCGTCCCGCTTCCCGCTGGTCATCTGACATGAGCTCCTGCACCCTGCAACACACGAGGGGAGCTTGGGCAGCACGCAGCACCTTCCAGTCCAACTGCAGCACAAAACATCTGCACCCAGGGCATCTTCTTCAGGTCACTAAATAGGTGTAAACTATGCAGAAAACCCAGAAAAGCTGTAGCTATGAACTCAGAGTTGAAATTCAGATTTTCTACCACTGTKGAGGACACTCATATAGAAATAAGTACAGCACGTGAAGTAAAAGGGACCCATATAAAGAAATGAAGAGCTGAGACATTATWGCCCTCATGAATGCTTAACTGGTATTCTAACCCTAGAAAAGTCCAAGAAATTTCTCAGACCASAACAAGAAGAGTCATGAAAGTTTCAGTTTTGCACTTGGAGCTCTGAGATTTCCTTGAATCCAAGCCAAGCATTACCGAAGAACTGTGATAAACAGTGCCCTCTAGAGCTGTTAATATCAGCACGAGTTTTTCCATGAATATCACTTCACACTATGGTTTTTAACCCTCCAATTTACTTCCAGTTCATTCAGGTTCAAGTGGCACCAATATAACCTAACAGGGCTTTTCTAGCTGACTTACAGCTCATTAAAGGGAATCAGGAAATCATAGATGCAATTAGAAATGATCAAGAAAAGTTGCAAGGAGCTCAAATCGAACATCTTTCCAAGTAGTGGCAGGAGTAATTTCCAGGAAGCTGTTATATTGGGTAGGTTACAAAGTATATTAGTGCTTGGATAAAACAACTGCTTTGTGATACAAATGATGGAGAGTGCTTGCTGCAAAAGAAGAATATTATTAAAATCACATAGTGTAACATGGGTTGAACCATCCTGTCACTCTTTGAGTGTCCTGACACATCACATTTTTGGGCTTACTTGATAGACTGCCAGTCCACTGTGGTGGTTAGAGGAGAGCTCCTGTCAGGTGTGAAGGACCGGCCCCGGCACTCGGGAACAAGGCACTGCAACAATAGGAATCCTAATTTATTCACAGATATTTTTAAAATGCTAAAGTGAAATTGGCTTATTAAAAATAGAAAAAAAAAAATCAAAGCAATATAATTCAATATCATTCCAGGAAAAAAGCCAGTTAAATTAGGGCTACAAATTAAGATGTACATAATAAATGAAGAGCTATCAAGCACAAACACCTGAACTCTGACTCATCCCTGTTAGAGCAAATAGAGCTGAATTGTGTGATCCCCCTGGTGAACTGGTTTGAGCTGGGGAAGAGGAGATACTGGGTGTTTTTTTCTGTGTTTTTGCTGGGTGATGTTTTTTATTTGGTTGGTTAGTTTTTGTTTTGGTTTTTCTTTTAATACCTGCAGATGTTTGAGAGTAGATAATTTTTTCCACTTGACCACATCAGGTAATGTGAAATAACCAGGCACTGTCCTTTGTCTAATGACTACTTAAGTCCAGATAACAAACAGTGAAATTAAAATAGAWAGTTCTAAACAAAAACAACCCCAAGCAATGTAAAAGCATAGAAAATCACCACAGCAAGGTGGAAGTGTCTTTTTAAACATAACTGTGAAATGGAAATTAAAAGAGATAATATTTTTCTAGATTTCAGGAAGTTTCTATGTATTGCTTGCCACATATCCAGCAACATAAATTTTTTACAAGTAACAAGAGTCTGAATAATAAATGATGCATGGTATGTTTAATTTTTTTTCAATGTGTCAGTTCTTTAACCCAGCTTTAAAGACTATATTTTAATATTTTTTCCTTTTTTTTTAATTCCAGCGGTGCTGCTTCTTGTCAAAACACAACAAAAACTACAAAATGAARTGGTTTTATCTTACCTTGGTGGGAAGGGTGTACTTCCCATCAGGGAGAGGAACCCCCTGCACATCCCCACAGGTGGCACAGACAAAGGCCAGGTTGGTGCACAGGGGTTTGATGTTGCTCACCCTCACCACGGTGCCACGCAAGGCCAGGTATTTGCCGTAGCAGTTGGCCCTCACGTTTTTCAGCTGGGTCAGAGGCTCATAGTTGTACACCCTGCACCAAAGTTCAGCGTCAGCATACAGAAATGTAGGACAAAAACAATCCCCAAACCCTCCCATAAACAAAAAATCCTTCTCCCAATTAAAAACAGTAATTTAGAAAAAAAGGTTTAGAAGTATTTTTTTTGCAAACTCATAACATAGTCTTTGATTCTTGTTCTAGAAAGCAGCAGAACATTTAATATTTTCCACATGAATCAAACTCAACAGCTGTGCAATTTGCTTATGCAGTGACACCTCTGGCCTAGCAACACAACAAGACATTACTTTATAATCATCCATAACTGTCTTTTCCCATTGTTTCAAATAAAGACTGGAGCTTAGACTTGCAATACAAGTTTTATTACTGCTATGCCACCACCAGCAGGGAATTAAAAACAATAATAAAAAATAAAATATTTTTTTAAAAAGTAATTTGAACTTCAATAGAGCTTATACACCCAGTTCCCTCAGAGAGTCAGAGATGCCATTTCTTCTGATAAAGAAAACAAGTTTCTAAGAAGTTGTTTCATAAAAATCTTCTCCAGTTAACAGAAATTTAAATAGTTCTGCCTTTAAACAATACATTTTTATTGGATAGTTATTCTACTTATAAGCCACTTCTCTGCTTACAAGTTTTTCTAGTTCAAGCTCTTTGTTCAGCTTACAAGGAGGTTTTATTTCACTTTTTTTTTCACAAGGACATGAAGTCACGGTGAAGAAAAAAAGCAAAACGTGGAGTGTTCTCCTGGAAATGGCGTCACAGAACCCAGTTCTTCCATAAAATAAGCTTTCAGCACCGGGCATGGACACTGGCAAGGGTTAGATAGGAAGCAAACAGCTCTTCCTTGGGAAAGAACAACTGCCCAGCCACTATTACCTGGCATGGATGAGAGGCACGTTTATGATAGGCTCTCCAACCAGGGGCAATCCCTCCTGCACCTGCAGCTCTGCAGCRTGTCTTTCCAGATCCTTGGTGAGCACCTGGATGGAGCAGAAAGTGGGACATGGATATCCACAGGAATTAGAACACCCAATAGGGAGAGACACAGGTGTCAGAACTACATTTAGTTTTAGTCAACTATTTCAATGATGAATAAAAAAAAAAATCGACCAAGACCAAAGCAACTTCAAAATGTGATTTTGTGAGTCATACAAAAAGGGGAGAGATTAAAAAATTTGAGTTTTTAATAAACAGTAATTTCCCCACAGACAGAAAACCACAGAGATTTGGGGGTTATAACATAATTGCCTTTARGTCGCACTGATTCTTTTTTGCTGTGAGGGTTATGCTTTTATGAATTAGAACTTCTTGTTTACCTGATGAATTGCCAGACCCATACACTGCAGTATTTTCTGAGGCATATCCCTTAGTTCAGTAGATATGTTTGGTATYGATTTAGACAGTTCTCTGTCTTGGATTAGTTCCTTATAATCCACAAGAATGCTTCCTTTTCTTTCTATTTCATCCTGGAAAATGTTGTAAATGACAAAGTACAGTTCAAATTAGAAGTCCAACACATCCAGCTTAGGTCCTAAATGTTTCAGGTCTATAATGGATGTTACTTTTCATGGAAAAAAACCACTCAAAATTTGTAGTTCCTGTACCAACAGCAGATGGTTGGGGTGGGATACATTTGGGTTTTTTACCTTGTCATAAAGATCAATGCGCTGCATGAAAAACTTTTCAAAGGCTTGAGTCTTCTGGACAAAAGGAGACTTGTCATTGTAAACTAATTAAAAACACACCACATTAGYGACATAAATAATTCTTTCCATTTCGCAAAATACATAACCACCTTAATTTTTCTTCCATTATTTTCCTGCATTTCAAAACTAAGGAAGATGATAGATCTCTATAGCATCACAGTAACGATCACAGAGATTACAGTATATTACAAGAGTGAAGTCTTCACTATATTTATGTTTTTATAGATGAAATTTTGGTTTTCTTTACTGAATTTATAACTATACTAACATGACATCTAACCAATTTAAGAAAAAAAATTAAATACTTGCTACTTAAAATTTCGGTCTAAAAATACCTTCAGAGAAATAAAGTTTCCAGCCTTTATAGGGAATAAATTGGTCCATCGTTGATTGGACTAGTCGAGATTTTGCTGGGGGAAGAAAAAAAAAATCAAAACGTGGGTTAAAAGAATGTGGATAGTGAAACTTTGCAACGTTGTTTTTCAGTGATTCTTCTGACCACGGCAATTGCCTAGCGCAGTACACTAAAACATTATGGCTTCAGAAAGCAGGTAGAAGCACAGGGGCTGGCTCACCAGGTTCGGGCATCCTTTTGGGCTCTCCCTTCTGTCCTCTGCCTCGCCATCCTCCTCCTCCTCGCCATCCTCCTCCTCTCCATCCTCCTCGCCACCCCTGGAAGCCTCTGCCCCGGGTGCATCCCCTGCCTCTGAGCTCCCTGCTCATCTCCCTCTGCCGGCGCCAGCCTGGGGATGCGACAACAAACCGAGGTGAAGAAACAGAAATTACATCAGAATATAATTTAAATCRGCGCTATTTGCCAGAAGGGACCTCGCGGGACGCTCGGCCTTTCTGTCCGTACCACAGGGCAGAGGAAAAGCACAGAACAGCCCTATGAAAAACCCCAGAGCCGGCGCAGCTCCCTCTCCCCTCAGCGGCGCCTCCCGCGCCCTCAGCGCGCGCGGCCGCACTGCGCAGGCGCCGCCCGCGCGGGGGCCCCGCCCACGGGGTTTCCGCGCCTGCGCAGGGGCCCGGCGCGAGCGGCGGCGGCGGCCATGGAGAGCGGGCCGGGAGCGCGCATCCGTGAGGGAGACTGCGCCGTGCTCAAGCGGGACGAGGTGTTCAAAGCCGTGTCGGTGCTGCGCCGCAGGTGAGGGTCGTGCTCCCGGAGCCGCTCGGCGTCTCGGTCGAGGTTTGCGCCTTCCGTCCCTGCCACTTTCGGYGCGGCTGTCGCGGGCCCCGCCTGAGGGAAGGGGGTCCCGGTGCCGGTGCCGGTCCGGGGCTGTCTCTCCGCGCCAGGCGGCGGGGAAGGTTTTAATGCTACCTCGGTTCCCATGGCAAAAAAAAACAAAACAAAAACAACCCGGAAGATCTGGCTACATTTCTCATAACACTTTGAAATAGACTTAAGATGGTTTTGCGCTGTCGGTGTCAAGCTGGTGCCGATTGAAGAGGAGGCTGAAAAGCGTCTCGTCCTTGTGGCACGCGATTTCTGTGAAATGCWAATGGGTGTTGTTAATTGCCCTCAGCGTTGCAGGAAGATGCTGGCACTCAGCTCTGGATAATTGCTGCTTCAGAGGGAGTGTCATGAAAGGTTTCCTATTTCTTTCTCCTAGGCCGACTGGCATAGCAAGAAAGCACCTGCAGCCCAGTAGGAAATGCTAAAATCATTGGGCACAGCCTGGGCTCGTCCCCTTGAAGCAGAGAATTTTGTAGACCATTGTGTAGAAGTCAGAGTAGGGTAATGTGGGCAGACATCTGATTCAGTAGGATGGAGATTTAAAGGTACTATGCTTGAATGCGACTCGTTTAAAAATGGTATAGTTCAGACCTCAGGATTTGGGATTGCTGATTATTGACAGGCTTAATGCTCACCAGTAGAATCTGACACCAAAATCAGGTATTACTCTGCTGGCCTGCAGAACAATGCCAACATCTTGTTCATTAAGTTGCTCTTTAAGTTTTCATTTAAAATTTTGTTGAAATTCTGGAGCATACKTGCAGATTCAAATAATACCACATGTAAAATATATGCATACACTGCATGTTTCAATCAGTAACAAAGAAGTAACAAAGAACTCAGCCTTTTTGCTGTGCTTCAGAATTAGTGATGAGTATAATTTGCATAATTAGGGCTCGTGTTGGCAAGTTTGGATTCGAATGTGAGTGTGGCATAGATCCTGGGACCTGTTTCATTTGCCAGGATTGGTATTTCCAGGCATAGCAAGGCAGCTTTTGTTGGTCAGCCTGGAAATTAAAGTATGTGGATCCTGCTTTGTGTGAGGAAGGTAAAGGGCAAACCTGCCTTAGTGCAAGCAAAATGAAAGAGATGGTAAAATCTTTTTATTTTAAGCAAACATTTCTGGGATTACAAGACACACTCTGCTGTCTGTTTTCTTCGTARTCTTTTGGCAAATGTTATTTCAGTGAAGCTCTGCAAAGTACAGGTTCATGCTCGTCTTTTTGCATTACTCTGCGTGATTCAGCTGAGATTTAATGCACTTCTGACTTCTTCTGTCAAAAATTATACTGACAAGTGCCACAGCCTTGTTTTATCTGTCATCCGAAAATTATTTTGAACTGAAAATAAACTTCTTCCTGTATCATCTATTTGAATTCTTTGTTCTTTCCCTGACCAGTTTCAGTTTAATGTGGGCTTTGTGGTTAATTTCATTCTTTATGCTTGTCCTGCTCTTCTTCAAGGATATAGATGAAAATGTCATATATAAAGCCATGGTTTAAGCTCAACTCTGGTGGTTTTCAGATATAGTAAAAATAATGCTTTAAGTATCATTGCCTTTTCTGTTATTTCAGAAAAATAATTTTTGAGAAGCAGTGGTTCTACCTGGATAATGCCATCGGACATATTTATGGAACTACATTTGAAGTAACCAGTGGTGGAAACCTCCAGCCAAAGCAAGGGTTGGAAGAGACTACCACAGGTATCTCAGAGGACTGACAGTTGGAAAAACTATTTCAAATTAATTTTTTTCTTTGATGGTACCAAAGAAATTGGGAAAGCTTTCTATTAATCATTTCGTTAACTTCATGTTACTTATATTCTTTCTGCCRTAAAAGTGCATGGTTTTGTCTTGATCAGTTGTTTCACTAGTCCTGTAACAAATTAGCTTTTTMATGTGGGAGAAAATTTGACCCTTAGTCTGGGTGATTTTATTTATTATTAAGGTTTACTTCACATATTACTTCACATATTTCATTGCTTAGGCTGTACACCGTAAGGCCATGAAAAATGTGTGTTTAACCACGAGAAATCTGCCTTCTGTGAAACTAAAATMATGTGTTTCTCCCACTTACTGAGAGCTAGATTTTACAAATCTGTGTCCTTTTCCTTTAGAAACAAAGGAAGCAGGGACAGATAATCGTAACATAGTTGATGATGGGAAGTCTCAGAAACTGACTCATGATGACATAAAGGCTTTGAAGGACAAGGGTATTAAAGGACAGGTAAAAATAAGGTTTTGGTGTCATTTCTGTGCTACGTTGATGGTTATATTTTAGTTTCTGAGAGAGGATATTCTTTTTCTCTGTGCATAGATTTCAGTGCTTTTTCTCTGCTCTTCTGGTCCAGTCATGTTTCTTGGTTTTACAAAACTGCTAAGGCTGTTTTCAGAGAAAACTTTATGTAAGGTTGGCAACTTCGTCAGTAGAGAGTAAAGTATTAATATTTATGACATCAGAAGTTATAACGTAAAAAAGTACAGCTCACATAATCATAATTTAATTTTTCTCAGGTATATGGTTCAAGATAACTACTTCTGTATTACAGATGTATTAAAATTGTGCAATAATKAAACTACCAAAGATGTAGGAAAGGATTGTGGCCAAACAATGAAGTCTCACCAAATAACACTGTGTAACCAATGAACTCTCAGTGTGCCTGTAGGCAGTGCCTGCCTGASAGGGTGATGCTGGTGCCTTATCAGTACCTGGAAAGTTAAGAGTGTTCCCAGGAGATCTGTTCTGTTCCTGTTAGAAAAGGGGTTGGTATTTAACCCTGCACCTTGTCATAAAGTAAGGGATCTTTGAGCCATCTTGAATCCAATGAAGCATTGCAGCAGTTCTATTCTGCAGATGCTGTCAGGCAAAATTCTCTCTCGTCTTTATTAGAAAGAGTAAACCAAAAACAGGAAATTGCTCATGCTTACATCAAGTTCATCTCCTGTTTGCATCTTGCTGTTTGGTGCTGCTCTTTGGAGCAGTTAYTCTGCTCTTGCCCTCCTGGGTCCAAGGTGTTTGGAATGGTGCTTCTGTTTCCATGGTTGTGCTGCTGGTTGTGTTATCTCTTGGAGATGAATGTACTAATCAGGCTGATAGCTTTGATGGTTTTTATCTGTTTGCATTATCCATGGCAGAAGATCACTCAGCCTGGCCTATGCCATGTCCTCAACGTGCCTGTGCCATGCATTTCCTGTGCTTTTATTACTTCTGGTTTCTGAACTGTACCTGAGTATTCATTTTAGCATTTTACATTAGCAGTAAAAGATCTTGTTCCTCCATAAATGTCTGCTAAAATCTGAATTCCTGTTTGTGAATGGCATGTCTTGGTGATGCAGGATTCTTCCCAGCTTCATCACTGTAAATTTTACTGGAACAAAAAAAAAACAAACCCTACAAAACAAGATACAACCCAGACACTGCATTTATTTTTTTCCAGGAATAAAGCAAAAAAAAAAGAAAGAAATGCTGGTTCACTACTGACACATGTTAAGTGTTGGAAGAAACAATGGCCTGGAAAGCAGCAATAGGAGTGAGGAGTACTTGCATCACTCTGGTTTTTGAGCAGGTTTTTAAAGTGCAATGGGAGGTGCAGTGTCCAAATTAAAAACGTTCCTTTTGTCATTCCTCCCCCACCAGGTTTAATAGAACCCATAATTTTAGCAGCTAAACTACTTGGATCACAGAACCCAAAACAGCAGCATTTGTCCTTGTGTTGCAGTCATGGAAACAAACCCTGAGCAAGGAAAGTTCTGTTTGGTTTGGTTTTGTTGGAGGTCTTAATGATCCTTCCAGCTGGAATGTGAAAACATGAAAAAGAGATAGATTGGCAAAGACATTRGAACAAGGAGACCAAGAAACCAAAATTGGAATTCTGGGAAAACCTGGGAGCTAGAGAAGGAAAAGTCAGGAGAAGTATTGCAGGAAATAATAAATGTTAAGGAGTTGGACACTGTGCAAGGATTTGGTACAGGAGTAAAGCACATTTTGTGAGACTGAAAAATTGCTGGAGTGAGGGAGATATCTGGTGATTACCTAGAGCAGAGGAGAGGAACTGCATGAAACAGGGGAAAAAGAYACCCTCAGAGATGCTGAAATCAAAAGTGACCCAATGAGGGAGTTGGATTAAACTAAATATTACTGAATATTCCAGGATAAGCATTTTCATTTATCACAGTTATGTAAAACTATATTATTAAATTCCCATACATAGTCAGTGTGGTGCCTCACTTTTCATGTTGATTAACAGAAATTTACTTTGCCATTGTTGTCAGGAGAAGTTAATGCTATACATGCCTCTACTGGAAGAAAATATTTTCAGTGTTTGTTTAAAAAAATACTGTATATGGAATGAATGAGAAATAAATGCTAGCTGTAACAAAAATAAATTGTTTCTTCCAAGGAAATAGTTCAACAGTTAATAGAGAACAGTACAACATTCAGAGACAAAACAGAATTTGCTCAAGATAAATACATAAAGAAGAAGAARAAAAAGTAAGTGAATTTTAAACTGTGGAAAGTACTTGGTAATTCTCTAAATTGTTGAGATTAAAATCAGACTCTTACTATGTGTTTGTTACAGATATGAGGCAGTTATTACAATTGTGAAACCATCCACTCGCATCCTTTCAACCATGTATTACGCAAGGGAACCTGGAAAAATTAAGTGAGTTTTCACTTTGTTTCATTTTTATAAATTATAACAGAAAGAATACTTCAATACTTTTTAAATACCTGTGCTGTACCAAAGTATGTGGTATTCACCTTYCTTCTCTTTTCTTTCCTGTGAACACAACGATTGCAAGTTAATCAAAAATAATATGGTACAGAAGATGAATGAATATTGCAGCAAACAGGAAAACTCTTTTGCAGCACCAGCTTTTACCATTTCTCTGTCACGACCACCTTGCTAATTACCTGTGCAGACAGAGCTTCTTTGCATTTTCAAGCATCTCTCTCACCTGCTTTGGCTGGTGGCRCAACTGCTTTGTGTTCTGGCTCAGTAATCAAAATTACCAGTCACTTAGCAGAAGCAATAATTGTTGTCTTTAATGTGTTRGGGATTCAAAATCCTCAATCAGAAGTCTCCAGAGTTTAAAAACCTGTGGTTAACTTYGGAGTTAGGAATCAGAGGGGGCCATGAGTACAGGCATCTGGCCCTGTTTGATTTTTACTCACCTAAACTCAGAGATACATTGTTCAGACCCTAAAGGTGGACTGGTACATGATTTTTAATGTAGTAATAATGGAGCTAAGATTTAAAATCTTTAAATACAAATTATTTAAGGCTTTTCAAACTTTTTTCCTTCCCCTTCCACCATCTCTGTCAGTTGGCTTTATTTTACTATTAAAGATTAGTTGTAATTTGTGTAGCTGTGACTGAATCTCTTCAGTGCWTGGGTTTTGGTCCAGGACTGCAGGTGGTGCAAGCTGCTGCAATATGGGTTAAAATCACAAGGGATGCATTCTTGGACCAGGAAATGTATTCATACCATTTGTTCTTTACAAAGCTGACATGTCTGAGAAAATCAAACAAACAAGTTTCAAAAAATATTTTGTCTGACTGGCACAGCACAAGATGTCCACTTTGATATGTGCACCCTACTGCATATCCTGCTTTTGCTTCTCCTGTCTGATTTCTTGTTGGCTCCAGTTCTTCTTCATTACCAGATGTTTAATTATAAGTTTCTTCATGTTCAAACTTCTGGTGAAGGTCACTGATGCTCTTCCTGAAAATCTGCTGTAATGCACCTTTTTTTTTGGCATGCTCCTGAGCTAGTAGGCAGTATCTCTGAGAAAACTTTAATATTTGTTAAACCCCTCTTTTGTCTTCCAGCCACCTGAGATACGACACYTTGGCTCAGATGTTGACTTTGGGAAACATCCACGCTGGCAACAAGATGATTGTCATGGAAACGTGCTCGGGCCTGGTGCTGGGAGCTGTGATGGAGAGAATGGGGGGTGAGTCAAACCTTAGTCATGCACACATCAAGGGAGACTTTAATCCACATCTGTGTGACACTGCTRAAAGGCAGGACTTCATAAGACTTTTTAAATCTAGTTTTACCACCTCCAGCATTCAGAGTGGGACCTGTTCTTCCATTGGAAAAAGTTGCATTTTGCATCAGTTGGATTTCTTTTTCATTACTTGAAAAACCATAAAAAATAATTTCATTGTAATTGTTTATATAATTAATTTTTATTAAATTGAAAGCCTTATATGTAGATCTATTTTAGTTCCTCTCTTAGCATAATGACATTGAGTCCAGAAAAAGCTTTAGGGACCTTGTATGGAGATCCTTCCCAGACACCTGGAATTGCACAAAAGTGAATGGCAGAAAACAGGAATTCAGACAGCACTGGAAATGTTGCCATTCCTCTTGTTCACTGCACCAGATTGAATGTGTATTTTGAAAGTATGGGACATTTTCTTGAGCATATTCTAGGAGAAGTTTGACTCCTGTTTTGTTTTTCAAACTCAGTTAATCAGTTTTATTATTCTAAGATACCAGACAAAGGTGACAATTATATTCCAGAAAGGTAGGAAGTGTAATGTGATGTGCACACAGTCTGGGAAGCACATAGRCAATTTTACTACAAATTGGTTTTGTTTCAGCAACTCTTGGCCATAGGGMTACTTTTTGAAGTAAATAAGGTACAATTTTAGCGTAATTATTAAAAACTTAYTTTTAGTGTGTTTAACATCTCACTGCTCTGCCTTTGGAGCCTGGATGTTGAAGAAATTCTTGGCCTAACAAGGCAGTTTAAATTAATTTTTGGGTTTTGTCCAAGCAACTCCATAAATAAGTAACAGAAACTGTAAAAAATTCATCTTTAAATTATTAATTAAACTAGCTTTTTAAACAGTTTGTCAGTACTTACATGTTATGAGCTAATCCTAAATACATATTTAATACACAAATATTCTGAATTACCTGGTCCTTTTGAGTTTCAGTAAGTGTTGTCCTTTGAGTAAAGGTTTTCTACTGTGAGACACATTTCCACAGTTTGTTAAACTTGATGGCTGGATTAATTACAGGCAATTTAAATATAGCATTTTAGAAAGACTTCTAAACTTTTAAGAATTSCAGCTTTCCAATGTGTTTTGATTCTTTCCCTCCCACAGGCTATGGATCCATCATTCAGATGTACCCAGGAGGAGGACCTGTTAGAGCTGCCACCAGCTGTTTTGGATTTCCCAAAGCTTTCTTTGATAACCTTCATGAATTTCCTCTCAGCAAAGTGCAGAGTCTCCTCTCTGGGACATTGACGACAGAGACTCTGCCTGCAGACTCTGAGGATAATGCACTGATGGAAGAAGAAAGCAATGGATTGGCTGAGGAGAAACAGCCTTCCCTACAGGAAACAGAGGAGGAACCTACTACTGAAACAGCTATGGAGATCAATCCAACAGAAGAGCAAGACACAATGGACATTAATGCTGAAGATGGAGAATTTAAAGAGAACAAGGAAAAAGAAAGTAAAGAAAATGTAAGTATATTTATTGTGGCTGTTCAAGTTTCACAATGCCTGTGTATATAAAATTCTGCTGTCTGACTCAGACCTGCTGAAATGCAGCTTATTCAGGTGTTAAAGTGGAGCTCTGGGAGTTATCTTCTGTCTTATATTAAGATTCAAAAAAAGAAAACTCAGGCCATGCAATAATGATTCAATATGTAATTACCAGTTAAAGTGCCAGCTGTTTGTTTTGTTGTTCAAAGGTTCGGGAAAAGCAAATGAAACAGTGGGAGAGAAGAAAAAAGCTGCTAGAAGCTGCTGCTCTGTTGAGAGAGAAGAATGCTGATGGGTGAGTCTGGTTAGAGCTCTCATAGTTTGGGAGTGATATTCCCCAATTTACAGCTCCAGCTGAAACACCCCAGCCYATGGGAGCCATGGGATTGGAGCAGAGAACTGGAGACACAAAAGGTAAAGGTTGAGATAAGAACAATTCACTGGAAACAGCAACCAGGAACAGCAACAATGCCAATGACAGAGGGTACAGGACAAGCAAGAAAAATGAATGTGCCTTGGTTAGTTCTTGCCTGGTTTAGATTTTTTCTTTTATTCATTTCAAATGGCTTGAAATGATCTAAAAGTCAATTAATGATGAGCAAATATTAAAATAAAAATGAAAAAAATAAAATCCAAATTAAAACACATCCCAGGTAGAATCTAATACAAAATGACTGCCAAGAAAACCACAGGACTCTAAATAGCAAAGTAGAACCTGAGGTTTTAGGTTTATTAAAGTGGAACTGATCTGGCATTTTTTATTGGTTGGATTGTTTTAGAAATTCATCTTTCTTGCACAGGAAAAAAAAAACAGATAACTTTATTTTACCTGCTTTTGCCAGGATCAGTTATTCCCGAGGAACAATTTAGCATAAAGATTGAATATCATAAATTTAAAACAAATGAATTAAATCCATTCCTAGAAATTCAGCCCCACAATCATGTGAGAGCATTTGGTGGTTGTGACTTTTTCACTGTGTTCTTAGCAARTGCTGAAGCGATTCAAGTTAACAAAGTAATTTTAGTTTACTTAATTTAATAACATTCATAGTAATTTTTTTTCCTCCAAAGAGTTCACTGGGAATAAAGCTGTTTTGTTGGATACGTTTTACTGCCCATTTGCTGGTTGTTTTTAAATGCACATATATAATTTTTGTGTTTTTTACTAGGAAATGTTTTAATTCATGCTCATTCATATACCTCATGTAGCTTAATAAGTGATAGAGTTTATAAATATACATAAGCAGGTCATTCTGTGTTCTCTGAAGCAGTGAAATKTTCAAAGGAGCTTTGTAAAAACTGCACATCTGTCTGGCAGTGCCTGTGGATGTGACCATTGTGCTTGCTGAAGGGTGGCAGTGTTGGTTTCACTGCTGTCTCCTGCACCCATCATTGTAATTAATGTCTGTGCATGGTCTGGCAAAGGCAAAATTAATATCTGACTTCACTTGGTATTTCCTTTTGTGTAAAATAATACGTTCATTGGTTGAGTTCAAGGAGGCCTATTTGTTATTTGTCTCTTGTTTATTTGTTTTCAATCACTTTTATCCTCCTGTTGTCCTTTGTAATGCATGAGAGCTGTAACAAATGACATTCCTGAAGGGTTGACCGATTCCTTGCTTCAGGAAGGCTTCATCATGATGGGGGTAAAGAGAATTKATGGTGCCTGAGAGCACTGTCCCAAATGGCTGAGCCATGATCCCCTTTCTTCAATCATCTGCTTTTAATAGCCACTGCTCCTTGAGACCAAGAACCACAGGATAACATAAAAACCTTGGCATGGAATAAAGAAGTGCTGCAAATTAATGACTCTGTACCTGAGTAGAAGCAGGCAGGGGAAGTAAGGGTTTGGTTTGATTTTGCAGGAGAGAAGAAGGGAAATGATAGGGAAAAAGCTGGTTAACATTGGAGGTGGGGAGAAAGACTGGGGCTTACTGGCAGAATAAAAAAAAGCTGTTCATTRGGTGAAGGTGGATACCAACTTTAGGAGAATGAATTTTTGAGGTCCTGAATTTAACTGTATTTATTACTGAATGTAGAAGATACCATTTCAGTAAAATTTCAGTCTTCTATGCTATTGTGTGGTAAAACACTGTTTATACTGGACCTGTTTGTTCAATTCCTTTAATGAGAGTTGAGGTCTGGTGTTAGGCCACTGAGGGGGAAAAAGGAAGRTAYTCACTGGGTATTTGGTATTCTTTTAAAGAAGACTTTAGAGTGACAATTTTCTGACACTATGAAAACAGAAATTGGTTTATAGACACTCYATGTGTTCAGAATGAGACACCTCCCTCCCTCTGCCCTTCCTCTGCCTCTTCCTGCTCCCTCATCACCCACTGCATTTATTTTGTGCCTGGCCAGGCTCCCTGCTGGCAGCAATCTGTGCTGCCATATGAAAGAGCAGCATTTGATTTTCCCAGTCTCTCATCCCTCACTCCTTTCCTGCTGTCTGGCAGAGCCCCTGGCAGTGCCAGTGCAGCATTCCAAGCCTTTCCTTTATGGCCTGCTTGGTTCATGATGGAGCACAATTCTTTAGAGGTTTCCATTTGAAGTAAAAGGTCTGCAAGGCCATGGCTGGCAAACAACTGAAGTGGGAACAATGCAAAGGAAATATCTCACCTCTTTATCTCTSTTGTATTTAGAAAATTGAACATCAGTTTTTACTGCCCTTTCATCAGGTGACTTCAACTGTGCTCCAGTGCTGCACATTCCCTTGGAAAACAAATGTTAATTGATGGGGTATCTCAGGTAGTCTCTACACTGGAGAGGGAATGTAATTAGGCCTTTCTTTCTGCACAAGCACCACTTATTAACTAATTGACTAATTATCAACCATTCCTTGCCATCTAGTTCTGCAGTGATTTTYTTGGATTAAAAGTGGAGGCAGCTGTGGAGAATCTCAACCATCTGTAGATCCAAGTTATCCTATGATGTTAAAATGAGGATGGAGAATAAAATATGAAGCCTTTAAATTATCAAGGACATAATTTCTTTTTGAAAGCTTTTTACTCGTGCCTATTAAGGGTTAGTTCTCTCTTTAAATATTCCTTTTATATAGAACTATTTAATAAAGACTACTCAAAAGAGTAATGACTGAGGTTACAGTCTAAGCAACATTTGGCAGTCACAAAATTTAAATTTTGTTTGGAAAATGGTCTTGGGCAGATCAAGCAGCCTTCATTTTTTTTAGGTTGTAAGAATTATTGCAGAGCCCAAGACAGCTGAAGTGAGTGCTCCTGCAGTGCATTCAATATTCTGCCCTTTGGGGAACAAGTGCTTCAGCCTCTTAATTATGCCAATAGGAAGTCATGATCTGTTTTTATATTTGGGGAGTTGTCAGAGCAATGAAAACATGCTGAGGAAACACTTTTAAGCTGTAATTGATTGCTGTGCTAAGTGGGAGGAAATGTCACTTGATGAGGTTTGAGAAGCAAACAACTAATGTGCTGAAACTTCTTTTGCAGCTTGATTGTAGCCAGCAAGTTTCATCCCACACCCTTGTTACTTTCTTTATTGGAATTTGTTGCTCCTTCAAGACCTTTTGTTGTCTACTGCCAGTATAAAGAGGTAAATCAAGATGTTACTTCAGCTGTTAYAGTTCAATKCTATTTATGCTAAGATGTTACAGTTTGATGCTATTCTGTGTAACCTCCTCTTTGGWTTTTTTAAAGCCATTGTTAGAATGTTACACCAAACTGAGAGAAAGAGGTGGAGTCATTAACCTGAAGCTGTCTGAAACCTGGCTAAGGAACTACCAGGTAAGGATGGCAGTGATGCCAAAACCATGAGAATATTGGGGAGCAAAACATTTCCTGAAAATAGGGGGAGATTTGGGCTGATGACACAATGTATCAGGCATTTGTTCTGCCCAGGACCAGGGGGTGTTCTGGAAAGRCTTTATACTTTCTTACAAAGCGTTTCATTGAACATTTGCTGAAATATTTGTAGCAAAGGGACCGGGTTTGTAATTCCCAGATGTCCACATGAGGTGGGCCTGGCAAGGCTCCCTGTGTCCATCTGCAGTGAGAACAGCCCTGCAGTGAAACCTCTGAGCCCTGCAGTGCCASTCAGGGCAAGGAGGAAGCACAGCTGAAAGGAAAGTGGAATGTGGCTGAAAGGGGGGCTCAGTGCTGTGTCTGACCCTGAGGGTGGCTGCAGAAAGGTGACAGGGACAGAACGGGAAAGCACAGAATTACTGCAGGCTGGTCTGTGGAGCAGCTGTGCTTTCCTGCAGAGTGCCTCACTTCTGAGCACATAATGGCACTTGCATGTGTCTCAAACCTTGGCTTTGTAATTCTGCTGGCAMTGCCATGAGGCAGCAGCCTGTGTTAGTATGGATTTCTCTAACTGGATTCTGATCTGCAGATCCTTTAAAGATAAATGCATTTCCCAAATGGCTGTTTGTTGTTGCAACTGGGAAAAAAATTTACATCCWACCCYGTAAGCTGAAATKACACAATGATGTGCACACAGAGAGKGGATTTTTACAGGTGCTGGTTGTGGGGTRTGGTTTATTGCTATTGTTTGTTTGTTTGGAAGGTTTTACCCGATCGAAGCCATCCAAAGCTGACCATGAGTGGAGGTGGAGGGTACCTCTTGTCTGGCATCACTGTCRTCTTGGATAAGGGCAAACCTGATTGCAGTAATTCAGAAGCACYGAAGATGGAGGAGCCATCATCTAAAAGATGCAAACTTCAAGACCTTCCTTGTTAACATTTGAAGAATTGATTTGTGGTTTAGATCTCAGGAGTCTTAGTGAAATAACAAGTTCTTTTGAGTGCTGTTGACAGCACAGGGCTGTGCCTGTTGTGCATCTGTCAGAAAAAGCAGCAGAACTGCAGGGGAGGGTGCATTGTCCTGCTTCCTTGTCCTGTATCCAGTTCACATCATCTGGAGGGGAAGGAAAACCCTTGGGAGCAAACATCCCAATGAACTCATAGGAACTTCAAAAAGGAGAGAAGATGACGCCTCAGTGGAGGCATTCTGTTTGTTTGTTGCCAAATCTGAATATGATGTAGTTTTTTAAAAGGTCGAGTCAGAATCAACGCATCCAAATTTGCTTTCCATACTTCCAGAAAGGCTTCAGAGAATTCTCCCAAGAATTCCATGTGGTGATCTGCTCCCACTTGGGACACAGAATTCAGCTGCATTCAGTAGTTTAAAGAAATACAATGAATAGCACAAATCATACACTTCTTTTTTTCCAAAGGAATAATAAAAAGAGAAAACTAGTAYTAGACATGACCCCATGCTTACAGCATGAGTCAATTATTTTCCTGAAATAATAGAGAAGAGCAAGTGCATGTTCTTAAATTAAAATATTGAATATTTAAACAGAATGTCTCTATTAGTATTGTCTGTCATTTTCCTAAGAGTTGCTGTATGTTTTTAAGATATTCCTATTTTGAAAACTGCTGTATGTGTACATATATTTATTCTACTGTTGGATCTTTCAGATGTCTGGCTTTTTTTATTAATTTTTTTAACTGCATTTGCCATTTCAATTAAACTACAGGGTGTTTTCCCTAATGAGATTCATCTTCTTTCTCTTAGTTTTCCCTCTTTTTGGAAAGGCTTTAAGAGGACAATACTCTGTTGGTTTCCCCCCAGTGGCAGCTCATAGGGCCAGCAGGGCTTGGCTACATTGAGAACTCCCTCATTGGTGTCAGGACTGMCTAGGCAGACTCTGGAGCTTTGGGGCCAAGCAATCAGATTTGATAAAGCTGTAAAGGTCAGTATTTTGATCAAGTAATGCTTTTTCAGGGCATCATTAGCTCAAAATGGGTTGTATTTTGTGTAAAAAGCAGGTAGGAGAGCAGCTACACTACAGCTTCAGGTTTTATCRACCTCTGCTTTTTGTAAACTTCCCAGTGTTGTTTTTCTGCTTGTGTGGGAAGTTTATCTTCTCTCTTTTCTTCTCCTACTTCTCCAGTAAATGGAGAGGATTCCACCATCTCTGCATTCCAGATGGCTGCTTATCCAAGATACTGTGACCATAAAAACAGTAACATGGAAAAAGCAGATTTGCTTAATAGATSAGTTTGAGAAATAAACAGTGTTGGAACACCCGATGAGTTAATTYGGATCAAAGCCAAACTGGCTGCATTTCACCACCATTGACATTGACATAGTCACTGAATCCCAGTTTTCAAATGTGCCATAATCCTTGTAAAGTGCAGAGAAAAACAATAAAGAAACAAATCATTATTGAGATTTCAAATYCCTTCTTCCCTCTCATGCAAACTGGCAAACAAAATGCACAGGTGGGCTCCTTGTCACTTTGAAAAGATACTGGTGAAGCATCAATACTTGGTGCACAATCTGACTCAGCTCCCTCTGAGACAATCCCATCAGTCACACAAACAAGGAGAAGATTTGGTCCAAGATCAATGGTTTTTATTATTGCAAACTCAGACAAATATATTCCTGAAGAACACTAACACAATTGTCTCCAAAAGCATATTAAAAATACCTGCCCACATGAAAGGTTATGTTACTAAAATTCATGCCATTCAGGTCTCAGGAGCGTAACAGCAAATGAAAGACACTTTCAGCTGTGTAAATCACTACACGAGAGTGGACAGTGAATAGAATTTCCTGGGTTTAGGGCAAACAGCAATCCAGTGGCAGTGAATTTACCACAAAGCACAGGTTTGCGAGGACACCTTCAGCCTCTCCTGAGGCTGTTAATCTTCTCTGCTATGTTCTGCAGCTCCAGATCCATAGTGGCCAAGTTTTCCAGCTGCTTTTCCTGTGAAAASAGAGAGTGTTTTACACATCATTAAC